TCGTTGACACCTTCAGAACCTGAGCCTAGTAGGAACGTCTCTGCAGTTGTGAGCATGGCGGAAAGACATGGACATGGTGCGGGATGAGAAAAGCTTTGACAAATCACTCCACTCTGAAGCCAATATGTGGAGCATAAGTCATGCACTACCAGCTGACGCGCCGACCTGCTGTTGTTAGCGTGTGTGTGCGGACTATTCTAGGTTGAAGCCACGTGCTGCATGTCCGTGAGTTGGGTTAGACATTGGCTGCAGTGCGAAGCACTGGTATGATGAGTACGAAGACGCACAGGTGCTAGATCTGGATAATGTGACTGATTAGATTAGAAAACGCATCCCAGCAAAGGCTGAATGAACGGTAGAATGAGATCTGGATATGAGGGCTGTATTTGGCAACACTTCCTCGTTCAGCACACTTGGCCTAGAGTGTCCAGTTACACTTTGAATCGTCACCAAGTTATTGTAGGAGCTGCAGTTGTAACTGCCCTTTCAAGGTATCACTGCCTGGGCATGCTGCTCTTGACTCTGTCTGCCTGGGCTGTGGACTTGCCGCTGTCTCAGTCTGAACTTCCACACTTCCAAAACCGAAGCCCTAAATTTTCAACAGTGCCCGACGCGCTCTTCCTCCAGGCAGTCATATATAAGGTATTCCCAAGTAGCTCGAGAAAGGTCAGGGAGAAGGCAGAGCTCCTGTAATGGGTTATATAGGGTATATACTGGGGTTCTATAGCAGGTTATACGGGGAGAATGGAAAAGAACATGGAAACGACTATAATGGGTTATATAGAGCTTTCACTCCTCGAGAGCTTTTAGTCCTCGAGCCTTGTTGCTTTGAGGCACGGTGGCAGCCGCCTGCCCTGGAGTGGGCCACTGCTGCCGGACCGGGCTAGATGGGGAGTTTGCCAAAAATTAGGTTGAAGGATGTTTAAGGGTTATATTTAGGGTTATATAGGGGGTATGCTAGTAGGTTTAGGGCTTATATAGGGGGTATACAAGGGTTATACTAGCATCTTGGCTGGCGATATCTGCAACGGCCAAGTGTCAGGATGACGTCGCAGCTGAGCTGGATGAAAATGTCCGGCTCAAGGTCCTAAGCAGCCACCCCAGTTTCTGCTAAGCTCACTGAAGCCCACGTCATGCCAAATTTTGGAAGCATACAGGGCCCAAGCCGCGTAGGCTCAAGCGCAGGAAGAACCTGACGGCTTACACGAGCCCGTCCAAAGACTCCTCAACCCTGCGTGCAGCCAGCGCGGCCATGCCTGAGTATGAGCTGCTCTACTGGCCTGCCGCTTGCTGCCAAAGTTGGGGCTTCAGCCCAAGAGTTCACTAGAACAGTCTGGAGCATGTTGTTGTCTTTCTCAATGATGGGCTGTCATGCCCAAGGTGAGTGGCTTGGCAGAACCGATCAGGCTTTGCTTCCTGGTGGCTGGGATCCCATTCAAAGACACAACGCCCATGACGGATCCGCAATTCAACGACAGGAAGATGGAGCTTCACCCTTATGCGCCGCATGCGGCAGGCTTGCCCCTTCTGGTGACAGATGGGAAGGTTTGCTGCCAAAGCCGGGCCATCCTGCGCTACGTGGGACGTATTGCTCAGTACGAGGCAAGGCCATGCACCTCATATGCACCTCATGTCTTCAATGAGGAAGGTCCTAATAAACCTGAGAGCTGTGATTCAGGGAGCGTTCCTCTACCCCACGGAGCCTTTGGAGCAGCTGGAGTGCGATGAGCTGATCGACCTCAGCGAGGACCTCCGCAGGCCCATGAGTGCGACTGTCACCACCCAGTACAAAGACCAAGCAGAGAAGGAAGCAGCTCGGCTCGCTTTGATGGCCCCAGATGGAGAGTGCACGAAGTTCCTGAAAGTGCTCGACAAGAAATTCGGCGAAAGCTTCCCCACCAAGCTGACGATCGGAAACATTTATGCCTGGTCAATTGTGACCATGTTCCGCCAGCCAACCTTCATCCCAGAAATACCAGCAGGTGCGCTGGCACCATACGAGAATCTCAGCAAGCTCCACCAGTGGATGTCAACTCTTCCCGCCATCAAGGCTTATTATGAGTCTGCGCAGGGTCGTGACAACTACAAGCCCATCTGAAATCAACCCGCAGAACTGTGGGTTTCCGGAGTTTCCCGAGTTGAGTCTTCAGCTTGGGCCAGCGCTGTTCCAAAATCTGGATCAGAAGAGAAATGTGTTCTGCTGTGACTGATGAGCGAGGCTTTTCATGTGATGGCTCATGATCTGGCCCGCTGAGGTCAGGGCTTTGCATTGGCTGGGCGCTTTTTATCGGAGCCAGGGGCTTTGCGTCAAAGGGAGGTCTGTTGCTTTGTTGAGTCTTGGGCCTAGTGAGGCACGGGCTTCCATCGGATTTGGATGGCGCAGAGGCTTGGTGTGCTAGGGCTGGTAGGTGCATGCCCTCATCTGAGCCCTTTGCCTCAGGTAGACACCTCGACCTTGATGAGTTTCACAGCAGAGGGCGAGGATGATGAGGTCGTCAGCTCAAGTCTCGAATGCAAGTTCATCTCTTCGTGTTGGAGGGGACACCTTCAGCTGAGGATGTGGGCAGTGTGGCTGCCCTGTCACTGTGTCATGGAGCGCGAGCTGTGTTCATTGCAGAGGCCCGCACCCCATGCTGCCTGCTCCAATCTCAAGACTTCCCTAATCATCTCACCAGGCTGCTGTGTTCGGTCTGGCCGAATCAAAAGAGCAGGTGGGCTGGGACTTGCTCCGCTTTTTGCAGCAAGGAAAATACAGCTTGCAGTACAGAAGCTGAGGATCGCCATGATATGCTTGCAACACACCCGAGTTCAGATCAATCAATATTGTGTTTCCAGTGAGGTGCAGCGTGCACTTGCCAGTTGCTTCTCTTTCTGGAGTCTTTTCTTTGCAGCAAGGATGCCGTCCTTTTCCCTACATATGTATATATATATATATGATCGAGATACCTTTAGGGTCTATTTGACGTCCTGTTTAAATTAGCTAATATATAAATACATTAAATAATTTAAATAATTCAAATAA